TTTTTTTTTTTTTTTTTTTTTTTTTTTTTTTTTCATTTTACTTCCATTTATTAGAGGTTATGATTGTCATAAATGGAATTAAAAAGAAGAGTACATCATTTTCTCGTAAACGAATCTGGGTCGTTGATGCAATGATTATACTTGGTTTTTCAATCTTGATTCCTCTTTTATTCTTCTAATTTGTCAAAATACCCTAACAATATATTGGATAATGATTTGAAAATAGGTTAGTTTAGTATTTTATTCGAGAAATTTGATGTTTGTGTTTATTTATTAATTCTATGCTGTTGTTATTCTTAACCGTTTGAATGATGATTTAGCTTGCGCATATAGAAATATTTAATTTGATATATATAAAGAAAATAATGTCCGTTGAGCTTGATACATTCAAGCTATTTGATTGAATATTTATGGATGTGCTAATATGAATGAAATAATTGGGCTAAATAATATACTTATATTAAGCTTGGAGTGAACATGACGCCTTAGTTATGCTTTAATTTCAAGCATACTACGTGACGTGTTGGATAAACTATGGTCCAAATTGGATTGGTTTTAAGAGCTTTTGAGAATATACTTGGAATTTGTGAATCTTAAAATATTACTGTCCCATATATTTTTTAATTCGAAAAAGAAAATCGTATTAAATGCTTATTTTTTTAATCCAAAAATTGTGAAGGTATGAATGGAATCATCAACATTTCATAAACATAATTAGATAAGTTTGAAATAATGATCATAAAACTCGTCTCCAATCAGACGGCTGTGATTGGTCGTTCACAGCAATAAAAATAAAATAAAATAAAAGCAAAGTGGGGATATTAAAAATTAATTATGTTGTTGTCTCCATTCATGAACATGTCTCCTCTATGGTCTGACAAATCTTCCTTATCCATTAATATGATTTTATTTTTCTATAATAATGGCAAATTCCCAAGGCTTTCTTTAATTCTTTGATTATTATTATTATTATTTGGTAATTGGTAAATAATTTAGTTTCAATTTTGAATGTTGATAATTTTGCGAGGATTTAATTGGTCATTTTTTGATATAATATTGAGTGATGGTTTCACAAGTTATTTAATTCACACTTATTTTTATGAGTTTGTTTAGTTTTTTCTTTACCTATTTTATGTTTATATCCTCTTTTAATTTTCTCTTTATTTTTTGTAAAATTTAAAACATTTTAAGGATAATTTAACATTTCTATTATTTTCTTAATTTTTTAGGATTTATACTCTCTCTCTCTCTTTTTTTTTTTTTTTTTTTTTTTTTTTTTTTCAATAATTTTTGAAGTAGGTTTTTNCCAATCTTTGACTTTTTAGTCAAAAGTAAATATCAATTACTGTTGACAGCCTAAAAAGCAATCATGTCATTTAGGTTAGATGATAATTTACTTTTAACTAAATAACAATTACTTTTTCCTTTGTTGAAAATATTAAAAAGTTATGAGCAAGAAGCTAGCAACTTTTTTTTTAGGGGATAGCCATTGTTTCTCCTTTTCTCTATTTTGAAGAGCCTGGTTAAAAATTAAATAAATAAATAAAACTATGTACTTATGGTAAAAATCTAATGGTAAAAAAAAAATTGAGAGATCTAACCATTTACTTACATTTAATTGAGTTATAGAATTCTATATTTATATATTTAAATGTGAGAGATTAGTATAAATTTGGGTGCTATGATAAGATTTTAATATCTTCACATGGGTCTGCATTTATTTATTTTTTTAGATTGTGACCACATATAAAATTTTGTTCTAGAAGGAAAAAAAAAATTATAAAATGGTTTTTTTGAAGGAAAAAAAAAAAAACAAAATGATTTTATAAGATAAATTAAATAAAATGATTGGTTTTCTCTAATGATTGATTACAAGCATAATAATTTTCTCTAATGGTAATTAAAAATGATTGATTTTATTAGATAAAATAGATTTTTTTTAATAATTATGAAGAAAATCAATTAGTGATTTTATATGATAAATTAAGATAATTTTTAAATATACTTCTTTTCTTAACCATTAACATTAAATTTAAATTTAAAGTAATAATAAAATTAGTTATTTCTCTTAAAATATTATAACCTATATAAAGTCTTACAAATTTATAATTAAATATTTTCAAATTATATGAACCAAATTTGAATTAAAAAAAATATATAAATTTAAAGTAATAATTTATGTTGTAAATAGTTTACAATCTAAGGCGAAATTATGAGTTAAATTAAAAAAAAAAAAAAAAAAAAATTGATCTTTGGCAACATTTTGATTAATTTATAGATGTAAAAGAGAGAGAGCTTGAATCACTACTTCCGTGTCTGAACCGCTTTTGCGGGTAGGAAACCTCATTTCTCTTCCTATCACTATATCTCTTCTTTCTCTTACCCTTTTTCTCTCAAACCCAAACCCATAACCAAAACCATGTCTTCTCCCAGCAAGCGACGCGAAATGGATTTGATGAAACTGTAAGTTCTTCCATGCCTTCGGATTGGATTCTTCTCTGCTTCTTCCTATTTGCTTTGACTCTACTGATTTTGACATCAGGATGATGAGTGATTATAAGGTGGAAACCATCAATGATAGCATGCAAGAGTTCTATGTCGACTTCCATGGTCCTAAAGACAGTAAATCATCTATACCCATCTTTGATTTCTCTATTTTCTTTGCTTTTTTACTAATTCCTCATCTTCTACTGCGCCCTTCTGGATTTCCCCTTTTTCAGATTCCTAACAACTCTCTTTGAATCGACCTGTTTAGTTCTTAATTGCCTGCGTTTGTTGAATTTCCCTTCTCAAATGAATCCCAGTTGATATAGACTGTTCTGGGCAATATGATTTTGGGTTATATAGATATCTTATCTTATCCCTTTTTCTTTGTTTGCTTGTTTGGTTTGAAATTGGAAGGTCTTTACCAAGGAGGTGTGTGGAGGATTAGGGTGGAGTTGCCAGATGCTTATCCTTACAAGTCTCCTTCAATTGGCTTCATCAACAAAATTTATCATCCAAATGTTGATGAAATGTGAGTTGACATCACTCCCACTCTGAAACTTATTACATTGGTTCTTGATATGTGTAGGCTCTTAGCTTGTTCTGGGGATGAGTGTTGACTGATTCAGATGTTTTATGAATCGCAGGTCGGGCTCGGTTTGTTTGGATGTTATCAACCAGACATGGAGCCCTATGTTTGGTGGGAAACCATCCCTACTCTTATCTTTGAAGAGTTATAATGTTATCTGTTTTGTTGTATATATTATATCATGGTGATCAATGGTTTTTTGTTTGTGGAATTACAATGCTGCGACAGGAGGAATTGCGATCTAATTCGGGTGTTTTTCGTTGTATAGACCTTGTAAATGTCTTCGAAGTGTTTCTTCCACAACTTCTCCTGTATCCCAACCCGTCGGACCCGTTGAACGGTGAAGCTGCTGCGGTAATGATGCGTGATCGCACTGCATATGAGCAAAGAGTAAAAGGTACTCTATTGAAGATTTGGTAGTTTAAGCTAAGTTTAAGCTAAACACAAAACTAGATTTAGTAGCTTTTCTTACTAGCCCAGAACTTCACCTGTAGACAAATTCAGATTTTAGTGGCGGTCACCATTGTGCCCGTGTGATCTAGATCACACCGATTGGGAAGGAGAACGAAACATTCTTTATAAGAATGTAGAAACCTCTCCAGAGTAGACTTGTTTTAAAAACATTGTAGGAAAGCCCAGAGAAGATAATATCTGCTAGCGGTGGGATTGGGCTGTTCCAATGCCAAACCCTTTTGTGTTCTGCATGTGTGATGATGATTATGCATCTAATGGTTATAAACTTAGTAGGCATATTATACTAGTTGTATCGGTTAACTTCCTCACCCCGACACAAAAAGTTCAAACCTCTATAGGGTTCAAGACACGTACGAACCCCGTCCCGGCTGTTATTTTTCTTGGTTTACATTTGGGTTGTGTATGTATATGTACAGAATACTGTGAGAAATATGCAAAGCCAGAAGACATTGGAGGTGTTGGTGAGGAGAAATCCAGTGATGAGGAGGTGAGTGAAGATGAGTACTCCTCAGATGATGAGGAGATGGCAGGCCAAGCTGATGCTTGACTGGAAAACCATATCAACCCTCGTCTGTACATGATTTAAAAACTGGGTTACCATCAAAATTGAAAGCTATGGAGAAGGTTCCTAGCTCCTCTACTGTCTCTTATTTTCATGATGGTTGTTGTGTACATTAATCAAACTATGATATAATGTTTCATATATTGTCATTTACCATTTAATCTATAAACCAATTCTCTTGGATTTTCTCCTTTTTCTCAACAGTTTCACGGTCTCTCCATCTCTAATGCAACGTTAGGGATGTAAGTGAGTCGGGTTGGTTCGGATATGGAGTAAAGCTCCGGTGGGAAGCTCCTGTATTCATTCTAAAAACTGAATTTTGTGCTACCGTACTTAGGTATTTCGAAAGCCCCGGTTGTGTTGTGTCGTGTTATATTCGATTTTGATTTACAGTACGTACCAACCCGACCATGTTTGATAAGCAAATAATATGATTGAAGCAAATGGATGGCCTAAAGTGCTTAAGATATCCCATCCATAATTATTTGGATGACTTATGGAAAGCTACTATACTGTTTTTGTGTCGATGAATTAATTTTGAGTTTTGAGAAAATTAGAATTTAATATTTATTATTTAAGAAATTAAAACATTGGAGGCTTATCTTTTAATTTATTTACTTTAAAACAACGTATTTCTTCAAAACAGCCCTTATAGCTCAGTGGTAGAGCGTCAGTCTTGTAAACTGAAGGTCCGTAGTTCGATCCTGCGTGAGGGCATTTTTTGAGCTTTCAATTTTTTTTTTTTTTTTTTTAGTCTGAACATTCTTAGTATAAAGCTTTGAAGAGGGAAGCAAATCAAAATTCAGTGTTATAAGAAAGAGTTGAAAAATATTAACACCAAAAAAATATATATATATTAAAACATAGTGCACGAAACCGAAACCGAAACGTAGACGAGCCAAGATTCAAGGGTGTTGGCTCATCGTGGTTGAACGAAAAACACGACAATGGAGAAATCTAAGTCAGGGTTAGATTGGTATTAAAGAATTTGCTGGGAAAGTATACACTGGTTTATTTGACATTCTGGTATATAATCAATCGAGCTACTAAAAACTTGACCTAATAAACAAAATTATTGAACCTATGGAGGAGAATGAATATGGAAATTAGCAATAAGCCTATTGAGTTTACCGAGAGTTTCTCGAGCAGATTTTGTATCTGGATGATCCTCGCCTGATATCGAAGTTCTGATGAAGATGGCCTTTCGGATTAGATCGTCCCCGATGTCGAATTGTCCCCCTCTTAGCATTAGCCTTGCTCGGGTTTCTAATAATGTTGCTCTGCACAGAGCTAGCTCCTGCCAAAGATAAGGATTCAGCTGTGCAGTTGTTTGAACTGGCCTCCAGCAAAGCGACTTATCGAACCACTTCTCGACCGGTGTGACGAAGGCTTGATCGGCAGCTTCTAATGCGTTTGTGCATAGCCGGAGAAGTTCCAACGCGGTGGTGCATTGGGAGAATGTGAGAAATGTCCTCACGGCAAGCGGCAAGACCACTTCTTTTATGACGTACAATAGCTCCGAGACTTTGAGTTCGACGACTACAGGGTCCCGACCGAACCCGAAGAGCAAGAAACAAGCTGCCCACAAATGTTCGGAGTGATGAATGATCGAGGGGCGCGTCATGACAGCTTGAACCATTGCTTGTGCAACTCCGTCCACGCCTCTCTTGCGCGCATATAGCTTTACGAGATCATTGAAATGTAGGCATCCCTGTTTGGCACTGCTTCTTGCCATATTGAACCTTAACAGCATGGAAGTTGCTTCCGCTTCTGACTTTTTCATGTAAGATGAAGTAATACCACAAGCCATGGAACGTAACAACTTCTTCCATAACCTCGTTCGCTGTCGCTTTTCGGGTATCTTGTGAGCTGCAAGGGCTAATTGCGAAATGGGAATAGCAGCAGGACCGAACCAACCACTCGCTAGAGCCATTCTAGTTGCCAAGCTCCGTGGCCCCTCGGCATGGTCGAAAATGGAGAAACACACTTCGAAAAGCTGCATAAGGAACGTATTGCGTCGGAAAACATGAGCTTCTCTACCACTCCATGATTGATCTTTGACAGGCATTCTATTGGTTGTATCCAACAATCTAGTTGGTGTTATGGGAAGCTCGGATAAGATCGCACCAATTATCGCAAGGCCTAACGTTAACCTTCCAACTTTCTCTTCGATCATTCTCAAAACATCGATCTCTGCAATCGAGTAGTCTCGAACGCTTCCTTGCATTAAACACATTGCTTCAGCCCCCGACAAGTAAGACAGTTTCAACGGTTCCAAATTCATTACACGAGGAAGTCGAGTGGATATTATGATATGCGTCTCGCCACCAAAACGAGGGAGAAGATCCATCACAAGTTTGTGATCCCACCAATCCTTTTCGCACTCTAAATTATCGATTATCAGCAAAAATGGAACGTTTCTCATCAGCTCTGTACGAATTCTTGAAATGGCTGCCTCTTCCTGCTCCTCAAAATTCTTGATCTTGCTTTTAGCTGAAAAACTTCCAAATCCTACATCAACTTCTAGGAAGGAACCTAAGTTCAGATAATTCTGCCTGATATATCTGCTTTCACCTCCAATCCATAAAACCATCTTGTACTTTTGGTGATGTCGATACGCGAATTCTAAAAGAAGCTCGGTCTTACCGATTCCCGAGTCCCCCGAAACACAAGCTATACCTTTTCCGTACAAAATTTTGGCTGTTTTCTTTCTCTTGGCATACCTTTCGCCACTTTTTGTCTTCAGTCGTCGATGCCGCTGAGGAAATTCAATGCTTTGCATTTCGATCTCTTTTTCAGACTCCTTCCACACAATAGGTTCTTTACCCTTCTTGTTTCGTGTTTCTACTGCTTGTTGGTGCTGTTTCTCTTCAAGTGAGCTGCTTTTACTGCAGCCAAGGGTCAGATTCTTTCGTCTCGGTCGAGCTATAAGTTCGAAGTAATCTCTTTCGGAATCACCAGCTACATTGCCAAAAAGTATGAACTCTAGCTCTGATAATTCTTTCTTCCTGCCTACGAAATTCTCGTTTCGGGGGAAAGGGAACTCTTCTTTCTCTACCTTCTCCCTCCATTTCGTCAAGCGCTCGACAATGCTTCGCCTTCCCAACCTCATTGCAAGTAGCATAACGGCTTTCAGTATGCAATCCCTCCAGTTACCATTCTGAGCTTCGAATTTCCACTCGTCGACCCGACAAAGCCCTTTGATGGCTTCTTTCCATTCCTTCTCCAATCCTCCATACAGAATCCACAAGTCACCACCATGTTTTTCCCACAAATCTCCCCTTTTCTCCACAATGTCTCTGGCAAGACAATCTCCTGGACTCAAGTCAAAAAATATTGGAACCAAGTTCTTCTTACCAGAAAAAAACCGCAGCTCCTCGATGGTGTAAGGATTCTGGAACGACTTCTTTGTTAGAATCACAACTCCAAACGAGGATGCATCCATCGCCCTCTCAATGACTCGATGCTTGCGAGAATTCCTACATTTTGCTCTATCAGACACAAAGCAACTCATCCCATGAACCTCCATCTCTGCTTGAAGCCAATTAGCAAACCGCAGCAATGAAGGCTTGGAACCGTGCAAACCTATGAAAACATCATAACTCCTTAGTCTAGTCGAGGAAATCGAAATCGGATCGGCTGTGTAAGAAGTAAAGTTACTTCTACTAAGCTTTTTGTACATTTCTCTAGGCCTCAAATAGTTATTTCCATGAGGAAGGCTTCTACTATAAGGAGTACTTCCAGATACACCAGTTGACGACGAAGCCTGATCGAGCTTCCGACAATCACCTGGAGTACAAGTTTCTGGATTTCGAATCAAATCCGAAACTGCAAATTTAGCTTTCAACAAAGATTCAGAATCTGGCACCACCACACTTGAGTTTAGCGGATCAACTCTGAAGTCCATGCTTTCACATCCCATGTCAGCCTTTGTTGCTTCTGACCTTCGACATGTCGATGACCGTGGAGAAAAGAACGGCGAAGGGAGTGCTGAAAAGAACGTCGAAGACGATGACGACAAATTTCTAGAAGTTGTAGCAGGCAAGGACCCAAACCGGGAGCTTTCTTCTCCAACGTCCATATCCACAAAAGCTCATTCTTTAACTCAATACACAAAATCTAGAACTTGCATTCTGAATGTGACACCCCTTTGAAAAACAAAATACAAAAAACAAAGAATGAATTCATTTGCAGCACTATCTTTAATGGCATCGAACAAATGGGCAGGCAAATTTAATGGCATTCAAGATCTAAAAGAGACATTACAGGAAGAAAAAGAAAAACCAGAAATTTTCAAGCAGAAAGCCCATATCTCAACCAAACAGCTCAAAACACAATAATTATAGAAATAAAGATGAACATACTCAGATCTGATTACTCACTGGACTTCAAATCTGGAAAGTTGTCACATGGGCATTCGATCTTATGCCTCTAGATTCATAAACTCATCAGTGAAATGAAAAGAACAGAGCACAAAAACTCAACAATGTTCAAATTCCAGCAATCCAAACAGGCACCAAAAGCTGCAAGAAGTGATTCCAAGAGTCTAGAACACAATCAAGCAAGCAAGCAAGCATTGGAACAGTAAAAAGAAAGGTGAATGAATGTTGAAAAAGGATAAGAAGAGGAGAGTTTTGTGTTAGAATTTAGAATGAAGTCTTAGTGTTTTCACATAGATTTAAGAAAGAGGCATTTGCAGAATGAGATAGGAAAACTTGTTTGCAGAGAAGAAAAGAAAGGCGAGTATTGGGTAACCTTTTTCAGAGGAAGAAAAATGAAAATCTAAGTGGCTGCTGACCCCTGGCCTTCTGATATTAGACAAACACTCCCTCTAAAATGCTAACAGAATAACCCCACTCGCCCCCTCTTTTCTCTCTCTAAACAACAAAGTCTCACTGTTTCTGAGAGAGATGGAGAATTTTTGGGTCTGAAAGCAAAGGTACACACACCGCTTGAAGGGGAGGCCAACAAATTTTTTAAAACAAAATGAAGGGTCCCAGGCCACGGATCTGACCAAGTTTATAACCTTTGTAGGCTCCACAAACCCACCAAGAACTTTTATAAACTGCAGAGAAAAACCCAGTGGTTTGGCCTTCTGGATTCATTCATTCATTCATCTTAAAGAAAGGCTCTTGGAATTGTAGACGGCCACTTTGTTTGTTCTTCTTTTCTGGGTATTAACTTTTATCCCCAAAAAAGAAAAAAGGATACCAACTTTCTTACCAAAAGCCCTTTTCTTTTCGTTTCTCTTAGCTCCTCCTCCTCCTCCTCCTCCGCCTCCATGATCAATGGCCCATTTACTACCAATCAAACCCTAATTTCTTGGGGTTTTAGTTTGATTCTAATTGGATTTTAAAAAAGATATTGTAAATGGGATTTCTGAAACTACCCCATTAAAGATATTCCCACTTTTCGTGCAATAATTTTGAGCTACTTTATAAATGCATTGTCCATTATTACCTTGTTGGTTACCTCCTCTTGGTCTTAGGCTTCATTGTCACATTTATACCCATAAACCAACGTGCATCCATCTAATTTCCTTGCCTTAGTTGCGTGTCATCAAAGTCAAAACTTATAATTCTTAGAAATGGTTTGATGTCCTTCTCTAAAAGATTCTATCTTTCAACAAATACCCTATTTTAAATCGATAAAATTTGCCTCTTTTGTTTACTAATACTTTCTTCACCGTCGATACATTCATAAAAATGAGTCAAATATATGAAAACGTAATAATCTTAAATGGAATTGTTGAAGAAGTTAAAAAGGAAGAGAATTGGAGTTTAGTAATAGAATGATTGATGGGAATGTGCTACCAACACCATCACTTTCCAAGAAAGAGAGGTTTGGTTGACTTGGAATCCAAAAGAAACATATACTCAACATCAGTCCAAAACCCTCTTTTGGTTTCCTCTTGTGGGCACATGCTCCCATATGAGCTCACTCAATAATAAAAACTCTCCTATTACCACCTATCTATGTCTTCCCTCATAATTAAACTCTCCATTCAATCTATAATGCCCTTTGAATTGAATGAGAGAGTGCGACACATCCGACCCCACCTCACTCCTCCGAGAACACAGTTATAGAAGAATAGTCGTTCAACATACTTTTACTCTTAGCTACTTATTTTACTTGAAGACAGTAACTAGTAGGTAAAAATAATATTTATAAGTCTATATTCTAAAAATCAAATAATAGTCGAACGAGATCTAAAGACAAGTAACTAGACACGGACTTAGAATAGATAGAAAAAGTAACCAAGATATGAGAGAGAGAGAAATGGGGTATGATTTAGAGACAACTTAGGAGTCCATGTGTTGGAAGCCTAAACAAAATAAATCCATCTATCTTTTCATTGTATTTTGGTAGGATGCTCAAAGGACAAATATCTTCAAATATTATTATTATTATTATTATTATTTTTTATGGGCAGAAGAATTTTGGATTTCTATCCTCTGCTATGCACCAGTTGATGGGCCCCTTTCTAACTCATTTACTTCACCCATATCCACCACCCTTTCTACTCCAATCAAATTAATTTCCATAAAAATAAATAAAAAAATAAATAAATAATCCATCTGGAAGGTGAAAATTAAGAGATGAATTAAGAAAATAAATAAAGTGTTCCTACAGGGTGGGCACAGTCTTCGGTGCCCATAATTAGGGTAAGCTGCCCTAATCCCTAATCCCTAATCTCTAATCTTAGCTTTATAATTAAACCCACCAATTCAACCACACCCACATGCTACATTAACCCCTTAATCTTATTATAATCCAATTTCTTTCCCCCAACCCAACCCAACCCAACCCAACCCAACCACTTCCCGTTTTTTTTGAATTTTGAATCCTTTAATCTTTTTTTAATCCACTTTTACCCCTTCCCCTTTATTTTTATTTTAAATAATTAAATCAATAAACTAATTTGTCGATCCTTCATGTCTCATCACCTATGCAAACCTTAGCCGACAAAAGGAACCCCTCAAACCCATTGCTACTTATACAAATTCGTGACACTTCGGTCTATTTTCCATTTTACTTTCTACCTTTTGATTTCCTGTCGTGTAATCATTTAATTCTCTTTTTCTTGACTATTTGACATGATCGAACTTGACAATGTGGATAATAGTTCTTATCATGAAAAATTTAGTTTATCAAACTGTTTTAATTAAAGATGTCTGAGGGACAGGACAAGAAGGAGAAGCCTTCTTGTTTTATTGTCTGTCCCTCTAAAATTCTATATATTTTGGTACAGAGATTTATTATAGAGAATTGGTGATGTGTATATAAATAAATATGCTAATTTTTTATTTAAAAAATATAAATATCTTAATAAATTAAATAATATTTTATAAGTTAATTATTATTAATAAATTTTAAGACCCTCGTTAAATGCCAAAAGTATTTGGGCTTTTAGAACCCAAAGCCCAGCTATACTTCATTTGATTGTAGCCCAATATCAACGCATTTGCAAGGTGGGCTTTGGAAGACAAAATTATTTGGGCTTTCAGAACCCAAAGCCCAGCCATTTGATTGTAGTCCAATACCAAATTAATGTTCCGTACATAATGGTCACTTAGATTAGAGGGGGAAAATCAAAATTTATGCATCTAATTTTGCTTTAATATATATTTTTATTTTAAATAAATATTTGGATTTTTAATATTGAAAATTTCAATATTATTATTTTTAACATTAATAATTTAAATTTAGACATTAAGTATTAATTTATCATTTTGCTATATATATCCTTTGAAATTTGAAATAATGTTAATCTAGACGAACATAAAATTAAGAACTATATAAAATTTTAAAAATTATGATGATCTTACTCGAGATTCAGTACATTTCCAAAATAAGCAGATAAAACTAATCACTGCCTTGAACTTGTATCCCAAAATTGCCATTTTGACAGACACAATAAATAGATTAGAAAAAGATTAATCCCAATTATAATGTTCCCATTTTTTTGTTTTTATTCCATAGTTTTCTTATAATTATAATTTTCCCATTTTTTGTGGTGTGTTTATATCGAAACGGAAAACGAAAGTAAGATTGTAAAACAACGCTCTGTTTCTGTGCATTTTGATCACTCAAGGTACCTCCTCAATACCCTCTAATCTTTCATGGAGGTTTAATTTTTAAGAGTGAACTGGGTGTTTCTGCTTTGCTCTCTTATTTAGGGTATTTTTTTATTAGGGGATTTTGGGTTTCTTGGTTTTGATTTTCGATTATCTGGGTGTCGCTTAATTTCATCGAGGTCTCGTTTCTGAGTTTGTAGAAAGTAATTGATATTAGTAGCTCGTTCATGATTCTTGTATCTGAATGCTCCGATTGGGTTTACCATGCAACAACGCGGGATTGGAAAGGAATAACCTCTTGGGTTTGATCTTTTCTGCTCCGGTGATTACCCATTTCCCAGTCTGCTTCATTTGTTTCATTATGTTTGTTCTTCAACTTCCACCAATCAATGGACAGAAAATGGTGTCTTCAGAAATTAGGGAAGTTCGTATTATCAATTATCCAGAATGTAGTAGTAGATTTTTGAAATTTTTAGCAAGTTGTGTTCCCCTCCAAATTTGTTCAGGGGGTTAAACAAGTTATTAGGAAGCTGATTTATTCAGTTGCAACAGAAGCTTTGCAAGAAAAATCTGAAGAAATCAAAATGGATGCACCTAAAGAGATATTTTTGAAAGATTACAAGATGCCTGATTACTATTTCGACACGGTACATGAACCTTAATCTAATCTGGGATTCAAATTTTTTCACCATGGAAGTTTATATTATTGAGTAAAACATCAATTTCCCTGCAGGTGGATTTGAAATTGTTGTTGGGTGAGGAGAAGACAATCGTCAGTTCAAGAATAACAGCCTTCCCTAGAGTTGAAGGTACCTGGAGTGATGACCGACTGTTCTTATATTTTCCTTTTTCCCGTGTTTCACTTGTAAACTTGAATGGTATCTATGTGTAAATTATTTCTTTACTTTTTGGTTCAGGATCCAAATTTCCTCTTGTTTTGGATGGGGTTGATATGAAGTTGATTTCGATTAAGGTTAACAGCGAGGACCTCGAGGTGAACTGCCATTTCAAATTTCTCAAATAAATTAGTTTCCTTCATATTACATTTGATGTGAAGGCACTCCCCTGTATAATATTCTTAGGAGGCAGATTACGTTCTGGACTCCCGCCATTTGACGATCCTATCACCGCCAACTGGTTCTTTTACCTTGGAAATTGTTAATGAGATATATCCTCAGAACAACACTTCTTTAGAGGTTGAGCATACATTCGTTGATACTTCTCTCTCTCTCTCTCTGGTTTTCTTTTTGCTTGTTTCTGCATTGCAACTCTAGACCCTACCATGAAATTGGCTTTGGTTGAAGGGACTCTATAAATCAACTGGAAATTTCTCCACACAATGTGAAGCTGAAGGTTTTCGGAAGATCACATTTTACCAGGTTGGGGGACTTTGTTTTGCATATATCTCTTCTTCAGGTAATTTTTGACAATCAATTAACTAAATCACCATGAATGTGAGCAGGACCGTCCTGATATAATGGCAAAGTACACATGTCGCATAGAAGCCGATAAGTCATTATACCCGGTGCTACTGTCTAATGGGAATCTTATAGATCAGGGTGATCTAGAGGTGACCTTCATTTTACACAACCAGATAGCATTTTGTATTATGCCTTTATTACATGCTCAGCACTAGCACTCTTTCTGCAGGGTGGAAAACATTTTGCCCTCTGGGAGGATCCCTTTAAGAAACCTTGCTACTTGTTTGCTTTAGTAGCTGGCAAGTTTGTAAGCAGAGATGATGTTTTTATTACTCGTTCAGGTAGGAAAATCTCCTTGAAGATATGGACCCCGGCTGAAGACGTACCCAAGACTGAGCATGCCATGTATTCTTTGAAGGCAGCTATGAAATGGGATGAAGATGTTAGTATTTTTATATACCAATAGTTTTTTCTTTAATTTACTTGATTTTTCATTATTTTTGTAGCAATCTTCAGTATTTAATGCAATATTAATTTCTTTTTGTATGCTGAAAACAGGTTTTTGGACTAGAATATGATCTCGATCTCTTCAATGTTGTGGCCGTTCCAGATTTCAACATGTGTGTTTCTGTTCATTTTGCTTTTGTTTCTATTTTACTGACTCTAGATGACTTCTGTTAAATAAATCTCTTTTTTAATTACCCAGGGGAGCCATGGAAAACAAGAGTTTGAATGTATTGTTTCCTAAACTTCGTGTCTTTTGTGACCATGTGCCTGATAAAATTCAAAACGTTATTCATGCCGTTTCCTTCGTTTTTTTTTAAACAGATTTTCAATTCACAACTTGTCTTGGCATCTCCAGAAACTGCTTCTGATTCCGATTATGCTGCCATATTAGGAGTGATTGGCCATGAGGTTCGTCTTAAAAGTTTTGTCACTCAAAAGCACCGAATAATGTTTTCTTTAATACAAGAGCAGACTTTTGATAATCACATGAATTTTTTTATGTTGTCTTGCAGTATTTCCACAACTGGACTGGCAACAGGTATTTTTTGTTATTGTTCCCTAGAGCAGGCTTGTGCTCTGTTTTAAACTACTGCTGACAATGTAAATATGCAGGGTGACATGCCGTGATTGGTTCCAGCTGAGCCTGAAGGAAGGTCTTACGGTGTTCCGTGATCAGGTATGATATTTACCCCTTGAGATTCGAACACCCAATTTATCCTTGGAACCTCTTCTCATTGCCTCAATAATAGGAATTTTCATCCGACATGGGAAGTCGTGCTGTAAAGCGAATTTCTGACGTTTCAAAACTCAGAAACTATCAGTTTCCACAGGTTTGACTCTTGTATCCACTTTTCATATTCCCCCACGAACCATTTACTAAATGTCAATTGCCAATTGAATTGAAGTAGAAATTAGCATTCAAAGCTGGTTTTGTCCCTTCCTTTCTATTCTGCAGGATGCTGGTCCCATGGCACATCCTGTTCGACCACATTCCTATATCAAGGTTAATGGTTATATTTATGTGAACTTTTCGGTGTACGCCTATTTCATTTTGACAGCCATTCTAATTGTTTGATCCCAACATTCTACAGATGGACAATTTTTACACAGGAAAGTGTTGTTCTCTATGGGTTTGCTCAAAATTTGAGCTATTTGTTTGTTCTTTTCTTCAATTTCTACTGATGAGACTTCTTTTGAACCTTGGGGTCTTAATGTTTTTCTTCTATCAAGCTATGATCTGACATGGGTCCTGTACCGACTTGAACATGCAGTGACGGTAGGCTTTATCATTGAGTTGTTACATGCTGTTAAGTTCATTTTCTTTTCTCTATGAGGAGACATCTAATTTATGATCTCTTTTTGCAGGTCTATGAAAAGGTTTGTCATTCATGCATAATGCTTCTCTTTTTGTCTGGGTCAAAAATATTGTTAATGAACGATTAACGACTTGTGAACTTAGGGTGCTGAAGTCGTGAGGATGTACAAGACCTTATTGGGAAGTCAAGGATTTAGAAAAGTAAGGGTTGAAAATACCTAAAACTAATTTCTAAGATTGTATAGATCTTTAAAATTATTTTCAAACGCTCAGGGCATGGATCTTTACTACATTTGAATTTCCTTTCATGAAACATTTATAGTGCTTATGGATACAACTAAAATACAGGTACTCTCAAGCTGGGACCCCTCGAGTCAAAGTTACATCATCTTACAATTCCGATGGTCGTACTTTTACTCTGAAGTTCAGGTATATAATCCATTGGATGTTGTTCACCTTATCAATCTTTTTTGTAATTGTTTACAAGTCATGCTGAGTGGTTAAAATTCCACAGCCAAGATGTCCCACCAACTCCTGGGCAGCCAAATAAAGTGCCAATGTTTATACCTGTTGCTCTTGGTCTGCTAGACTCAGCCGGCAACGATTTGCCTCTGTCCTCTATATATCATGATGGGGTGTTGCAATCTATAGCTGAAAATGATCGGCCAGTCTACCACACAGTCCTCAGGCTGACCAAGGTTAGCAAAGAAATTACATTATTCTGTGACTGCTTCTTTTCGAACTGCTTGTAATGTATAATTGTAACAACCCACGACCACCGCTAGTAGATATTGTTCGCTTTGACCCGTTATGTATTGTCGTCCGCCTCACAGTTTTAAAACGCGTCTGCTAGGGTGAGGTTTCCACACCCTTATAAGGAATGTTTCATTCCCCCTCTCCAACTGATGTGGGATCTCACAATCCACCTCCCTTAGGGGCCAGCATCCTCGCTGGGGACTGGCTCCGATATCCTTTGTAACAGCCAAAACCCACTGCTAGTAGATATTGTTCGCTTTGGCCCGTTATGTATCGTCGTCAGCCTCACAGTTTTAAATCGCGTATGCTAGGGAGAGGTTTTCACACCCTTATAAGGAATGCTTCGTTCTCCTGTAACAGCTCAAGTCCACTGCTAGGAGATATTGTCCTATCTTCTGGGCTTTCCTTTATGAGCTTCCCTTCAAGGTTTTAAAACGCATCTACTAGGAAGAAGTTTCCACACCCTTGTAAGTAATACTTCATTCCCCTCTCCACCCGACGTGGGATCTCACAATAATTGTATTGGTGGTTAGACTTTTGTTTGACAATGTTAACTTCTGTTTGACCAATTATAGTTTAGACCACCACTTGCTTGTTATTTTATGTGCAAGAACGGGAGATTTAGGATTTAAAAATCCATGTTTTCCTATATCTATTGATCGCTATGCTTGATGCAGAAAGAAGAAGAGATCGTCTTCTCTGACATACCTGAGCGACCAGTTCCATCTTTGTTTAGGGGCTACAGTGCTCCTATCCGTCTTGAAACAGATCTAAATGACGATGATCTATTTTTCCTTCTTGCCCATGATTCTGATGAGTTCAACCGGTTTGTGTTTATATCAAAAATTTTAAAAGGTTAATTCAATAGTATAACCATTGAACAAGGTCCGATCATTTTGTGATTTAGTTGGGAGGCTGGACAAGTGTTGGCACGGAAACTGATGCTCCTATTGGTGGCCGATCACCAACTAAATAAACCATTGGTTCTTAATTCGAAGTTTGTGGAGGGTCTGAGATCCATACTTTCTGACTCGAGCTTGGATAAAGTATGTCAGGCACTTAGTTTTGTAATTTGGTTTTTTCTTCATTGAGCCACTTTTGGCTGTTGGCTGGACAATATGGAGACAATACTGATAACATAAGTGAATAACCATTGGTAATCCAGGAATTCATTGCGAAAGCTATAACTCTCCCCGGTGCAGGAGAAATAATGGACATGATGACGGTGGCAGATCCCGATGCTGTTCATGCCGTTCGAACTTTCATCAGGAAGCAACTGGCCAATGCATTGAAAGCAGAGCTTCTCACTGCAGTATGAACTTCTCTGAACCTGCAATTTGATGAAGTCTGAACTATTTGTTCTGTACATAAAATTGTGTCCTTAATCTTCTCAGGTAGAAAACAACAGGAGTTCAGAAGCATATGTGTTCAACCATCCTGAAATGGCGAGGCGTGCTTTGAAGAACATTTCTCTCGGTCTGCTCGGCCAACAAATTTCGTGGTTGAAATAATTATTCTGTAAACTTGTTAAGTCGACTAATCTTCATTTTCTTTGATGGTTTTCAGCATATCTTGCATTAGTTGAGGATGCAGAGATTGCCAATCTTGTGCTTGATGAGTATAAGAACGCCTCGAATATGACCGACCAATTTGCAGCTTTGGTGGCTCTAGACCAGAAGCCAGGTGAAACTCGTGACGAGGTTCTCGCCGACTTCTACACCAAGTGGCAGCACGACTATTTGGTTCGTCATTACCTGTTCTTACTGACTCTTGATTGGCTTGGTTGCATCATTCTAAAATGCCTTTTCGAATTGTTGTACACATCACTTGTAGGTTGTCAACAAATGGTTTGCTCTTCAAGCCATGTCAGACATTCCTGGCAATCTTGAGAATGTTCAGAACCTCCTAAATCATCCAGCATTCGACATTCGAAATCCAAACAACGTATATTCTTTGATTGGAGGTTTCTGTGGATCCATCGTCAACTTGCACGCGAAGGACGGATCTGGCTATAAATTCTTGGGAGAAGCTGTCATGCAACTAGATAAAATTAATCCCCAGGTGAGTACAGTGACTCCCTTCGACCGTGAAATGGTGTAACGATCTCCTGGTTCTGGTTAAAGTTCCCCATCCATCTTACGTTATTCACTTGTCTCGGAATATCTTCTCTTATTCACGTATTGATTCTAGGTGGCCTCTGGAATGGTCTCTGTCTTCACGAAATGGAAGCGTTACGACGAACACCGACAAAAGCTTGCCAAGGTAGTATGATTACTTCGGCGATTGCTAAGTAGATTTGGTTATCAGCTACTACTACCATATGGGATGTTGTTGATGACGATGATCATGATATGTGCAGGAACAACTGGAGAAGATATTGTCTGTGAATGGACTGTCTGAAAATGTGTTTGAAATTGCATCAAAAAGCTTAGCAGCAGCTTGAGGATATCATAATAATTCAAAATAATATCATCTAGAAATATGCTTGTTTGCATATTATGCGCCATGGTGTGGTGTTATGAACTCGCGCTATTTATCAACTTTTCTTCTCTTTAATCCAACTATCTATGTCAAAAATATTTTTGAACTTTTTAAAATATATATATAACTAAAACGCGTCTACTAAATTAATTACTCTCAACTTTACTTGAAATCGTTTAGATTTTTAAACTTAACTTTAACACGAGCTTTCTTCCACCATATTTTTACATGTTTATAGGTTTAGCATCGTAAATGAAATGTATAAAAGAATCGTTATCCATAGTGTATTAGTAATAAGATTTTTAAATTATTATTTTTTAAATAAAACATTTATTTCATAATTTAAATTTTTTTCAAGAACTATGGAATTATAGGGACATAATAAATGGAGTGAAATCATAATTAATTATTATTGACAAATAATTTTTTTATCTTTAGAACCAAAATCAACGAACGTATGTCTGCATGATTCACGTTTTTTTTTTTTTTTTAAATTTAAAAAAGATGTTTTAGTTTTGATAAAATTATTTTGTGGATACAAATTATTTATTATTATAATTATCTTACAATCACACAGCACTAGCTTTTACCAACCAAAGAAAACAAAAAGAAAACTATATAAAAAGGAATGACGTTTTGACTTTTGAGATAAGGAACAAACCGAACATTTTTCTCTTTTTTCTTCTTCGGAAGTTCTTCAAATTTTCGTCCCTCTTTCAAGATCCTCTCTCTCTCTTTTTCTTTTTCGATTAGTTTTGTCGATAATGCCGCCTCCTTTTTCTGGTTCAACGTGTTCTTCTTCTGATTTGATTCACCCGCCATTAAACCCTGAATCTAATATCGTCGCCATTAACGTTGGTGGCCATTTCTTTCAAACTACCAAGCAAACCCTAGCCCTAGCCGGTTCCAAATCTCTGTTATCGACGCTCTTCGATTCATCGCAATCCGATGTGCCGTTTATCGATCGAGATCCCGATCTCTTTTCTCTCATACTTTCGCTTCTCAGAACGGGTTACCTTCCGTCTAAAGCCAAGGCGTTTGATCTGCAAGACCTAATTTCAGAGTCGCAGTTCTATGGAATCGAATCGCTTTTGATCAATTCTTTGTCTAATCCTTCCCAATTTGAAGCTTTCAATCTTGAGAAATCGCTGATTTTGCCCCTCAATGGCCGAGATCCTCCGGCGGCGATTACGACGACACCGTTCGGATCGGTCCACGTCGCTCACGGCGGCAAGATCACCTCCTTCGATTGGTCGCTTCAGAGGAAGACGACGATTCTGACGCAATTCTCAGCGATCGATTCCCTTCTAGCGTTGTCGCCGTCGGTGGCCGCTGCTGGTGCCACCGATTTCTCTGGACTGCAAGTCCTCGATCTCGATATTGGCCACGTGAGAACGATTCTTAATTGGGAGAACGTGACTCGATCAAGTTCCACCGTGCAAGCCATTGGAGCCTCCTCTCAATTTCTCTTCACCAGCTTCGAATCAGGCAGAAGAAACTCAAATTCCATTATGATATACGATTTACAAACCTTCAGTCCCGTTAATGAAATCGGCCACAATGAGATCTTCGGAGCGGATATCGACTCAGCAATCCCAGCCACAATGTTGAATTGGGTTGCAGGTTATAATTTGTTAATGGCTTCTGGGTCTCACAGTGGACCTTCTGGTGTACAGGGCAACATCAAATTTTGGGACATTAGAACAGGAAACATAGCTTGGGAGCTGAAGGAGAAAGTGGACTGTTTCTCAGACATGACAATATCTGAGAACCTATCTGCCATTTTCAAGATTGGTGTGAGCTCTGGTGAAGTTTACAGTGCAGATTTGAGGAAGCTCGGAGATGGGAATCCATGGATTCTCCTAGGGGACAGGATGAAGGTGGTGAATGGAAAGAGGGCAGGGGCTGGAGGGAAGATTGAAAGTTATGGAAATCAGGTGTTTTGTAGCAGAGAAGGAGGGACCATAGAGTTGTGGTCAGAAGTAGCAGTTGAAAATGGAGGAAGCAAGGAAGGAGGATTAAGGTTAGAGGAGAGAGTTTTTAGGAAGAATGTGATGGGGAGAGTGAAGGATTTGGGAGGTGGGAGAGTGACCAAATTGGCATTTGGAGGGAATAAGATGTTCGTGACAAGAAAAGACCAGCAATCTGTGGAGGTTTGGCAGAGTACAAATAAGGTATTTTGATACTCTTAACAAAGTCAATGAGTATATGGTTTTGCATTCTTTGTAAATGATGTTTGTATTGTTATTTATCAAAATCCAAAACCGGGGTTTGTAGATGAATAATTGTAATGAGTATTTTTAGGCATTCAGTGATGAGCTATAATAAGCATTTTGGTATCATTGAATTACATTGGTTTGTCTATTTTGTTGAATTACAATGGTTGAAGATTTCTGTACTTGTATATGCTCATACAATTTTGATATCTGTGACAGCGTTCGTCTTAGATTGAATCAAAGTGGTAGTAGATATTGATGCAAAAGGGAACAATTCTCCATTACTTGTATATGCTCATACAATTTTGATATCTGTGACAGCGTTCGTCTTAGATTGAATCAAAGTGGTAGTAGATATTGATGCAAAAGGGAACAATTCTCCATTACAACACATAATAGAAAACTTAATTTACACACAAATCCATGACAGTCGTCGTCCTGAAGGACCAAATAAGCAAACAAAGAGCGAATAGAAAAGGAACACATTTCGATTTCCACTAGACCTATCTGTTTCAGTGGAAGTAGTAGAGTCTTCAAGCTCTGGCCTTGAATGGAATGGCTCTGATTATGATCTGGTGGTAAATAGCAGCAAGAGCAGCTCCGATGAAAGGTCCCACCCAGAAGATCCACTGCAGATTATTCAACAACACAATTAATATTCGTTCATTAAAATATCGTCCAAAAATCACCCTTTGATTCAACTACTTGTACTAACATGGTCATCCCAAGCGTGCTGCCTGTTGTAGATGATGGCAGCTCCCAGACTCCGGGCTGGGTTGATGCCGGTGCCGGTGATGGGAATGGTCGCCAAATGAACCAAAAACACAGCAAACCCAATGGGAAGAGGAGCCAAAATCTGCCCACGACATTCAACAAACAAACAAAAAAATAACATTATTAACAAACTAGTCTAGATTTCTTCTGCCCCGCTCCTCAGTTTTAGATGATTCTTACAGGGACGTGAGAGTCTCTGGCATTTCTCTTGGCATCGGTGGCGGAGAAGACAGTGTAGACGAGAACGAAGGTGCCAATGATCTCAGCGCCAAGGCCACTGCCCTTGGTGTAGCCAGAGGCCACGAAGTTGGCACCGCCGAGCTTCTGCACGTAGATGGACTTCTCGAAGCCCTTCACGACGCCGGCACCGCAGATGGCACCTAGACACTGCATGATGATGTAGAATATGGCTCTGGTGAGCGACAGCTTCCTCGCCAAGAAAAGCCCGAACGTCACCGCCGGATTAATGTGTCCACCTGAGAACCACACACAAAACCCAACAAGGAAAACTCACAATTCAGTCTTCTAGAAAGATATCTAGTTTTCTTAGCAACTAAATGAAACCCAGTTAGTATTTCTACTCGGTAAACAGTAGATGCTTGAAATCCCTCTCTCGTTTATTCTTGAACTCACAAACAATGTATTTTAGTTTAGTCCCACCAACCCGTTAAAGAAACCACATGATCCATTGTTTATAACTCAAACAAATCCAAGTTCACCCAACAAAGCTAACACTAAGAAAAGTTTAAATGCCAATTTAAACCCAAAACATACTTTTCTTAACAAATATACAAAAACCCAATACAGATCTAAAGAACAAAACAACCAAACTTCATGAAAAAAGAACTTGGAATGGAGAGGGTGAAGGGTTTACCGGAGATGCCAGCGGTGCAGTAAACAAGAGCAAAGATCATGCCGCCGAAGGCCCAAGCGATGCCCTGAATGCCGACGGTGGAGCACTTGGTTGGAGCTCGGCTGACTCCCATCACCGTCAAAATGGTGATGTAGAGGAACAAGAAAGTGGCTACGAACTCGGCGATTCCGGCTCTGTAGAAGGACCATGAGGACAGCTCGCCGGGCTCGAAGAGTGGCGCCGGTGGGGGTTCTTTGTAGTCCTTGTCCGTCTGCGCCGATGTGCCGATGGGTTGTCTCTCTGAGTACTTGTTGGCTCCGAGCTTGACGTCCTCTTCTTTGCCCTCCATTTTTGTTCTTCTTTTGGGAGTGAGCTGTGAGACTGTATGAGGCTTCTGTTCTCTCAAAGGGTTCTAATGGAAGGGATAGGCTGCATACACTCAAATCATGCCTTCTCTCTTTTTTTAACTCTCTTTTTTTAACTCTCTTTTTTCTCCCTTTTTCTTTTTTTAATGCTTAAATAATACTTTTTTTAAACTCGAAGTGATATAAAAAGTACTTTAAAAATAATATTTTAAAAAAATGATGCATTACCAAAATCTCACACACTCATATTTGATTAACATATAAGCCTCATAATGATTTCTTTGCATTTTTTGAGGGACATTGATGAAAATTTAATCAACTAATTATTATTTGTTTTGGAATCAAATTATTAAAATACAGAAAATAAAAGGGTTAATTTAACATTTAAAAAATTACATAGAAATTATGGAAAAAAAGAGGGGCAAAAACGTAATTTGCTAGGATCTTTCTAGAACAAGGAGATGGATTTGACAGGTTCTGGGTTGGTCGGTCTATAGTGATAAGAAATTTACAAACTAAATTAGGCTTAATTAAAAAAAAATCAAATTAGTTGTGATGGTACGATCACATGATTAATCAAAACTCCTACAAATTAGTAAAAAGAAATTTGGAAGGAAAAAAAAGTGAAGGTGGATTATTATCCTAAAAATGGAGAGAAGGGTAAAAAGGTAATTTCATAATAAAAAAAAAGACCAAATCGTGTGGCTGAGATCAACTGGCCGTTTTGTTATTTTTTGTTTTTCCTTTATTTTTTTAATCGATGATATATTTAACTAATTAACGTAACTTACCCACCATGTGGGCCCAACCTCCAGCCCTTTTATTTAAAATGGTTAAAGCTAAAGAGAAATGGTGAGTGGTTGACAACTCAGAGTCATTGGATGCCTCACTGCCACGTGGACTTGTGCCAACTCAGACCCATTTACCTTTTATCCTTTTATATTTATACATACATATATACATATATATATACATACATACATACATACATACATATAATAAAAGTTTATGTTAAATTCAAAGTTCAAACCGTAAAAATTAAAAGTTCATAGCCAAGTTGGCATCATAACAAGTTAATGAAGATTTAACCACAAGTAATCACTATGATGACTTGTAAAGCATCTGACCTTCAACACCAGCTCTTGCTTACTCTACACAGGCTGCCATCCTTCATCACATTCCTAATATATATATACATACATACATATATATGTATGTATGTATGTTATGAACACTACATGAACAGTGTCTTCATTTTAATCCTCATTGATGAGAAGATGAGCATGAGGACACACCCTTTCTGGTTCTCCTTTTCTCCATAAAATCCCCAAATCTCCTCTCTTCTTCCCCAGTATCAAAAGGGTTCCTACATCAACACGTGTTTCAGTCTCGATTAATCATAATGACGGGTTTTGTTAACTCGTTGATACCTAAGATTTTTCTATTGAAAACATGGACATTGTGTTAATATCTAATGATGTCGGGAGTATAAAGTTATTTACCGAGAGTGAACGGGACGATATAAAGCAGGGCGGGCTGGCCGTGGCCGTCCATCAGGTTCAAAGCTACATAGGTAATCAGAAGACCTGACAAAAGTTTCAAGAAACCTTTCAAAACATGAACCAAACATCAAGACAGCATTCATTCCCTTCATTACCTGATCCATAAGCAAGCATTGCTGGTAAGAAGTAACCAGCCCGGAGGCTCTTATTCGCCAACCAGTCATACCTGTAAGGATATCCCAAGTCTTTGTTATGCAGAGGTTTTCACTAACAATTATGAAGTATGGGCATGTCATGAAGGCAACAAAGCTTAAACCTGAGAGAAAACGCTACTATAAGTCCAGGTAAAAGAATGTCACCAAATCCAATGATGCTATAACCACCCCACGGATCGAACATGCGTGGGATCTTTAGCAGCATCGGGATACCGTCCTCTCCGCTTTTGTCGCCACGAGCCACCTGTTAAGGATTTTCAATAGCAGCAACTCAGTTAAGTAGTTCAGAACTGTTGTTCTTCTAGTCTATGACAGTGTACTTACCACAATCATCACACTTTCCTTGAACAACTTCTTAGAAACAAAGACCCAAAAGATATCATAGAGGAAGGCACAACTGAGAAGCACTGTTCCAACCTTGAAAACACTCAAACCCAACAATTAACTGCTAGAAAGGACCATCATGTTCTTCAGATACATCTACATAGAGCATAGTTCGAAATCGCTACCTTGAGATTCGGTATACGAACTATTTGAAGAACTGTAATTATCAGTGCAATTCCCTGGTTAACAAAGCATTAAAACAAGAATTCAGCTTCTTACATTATTATGAATCTTAATTTTCATATAATAGAGAACAGGTTCTTGCTGACACAATTATCTTACAAGTATGTCTTGACCAATCCAGGCAAACGACGCACTCCGATAGATAGCCCAAACGACAGCAAAAGCTACGCAGAATGGAGAAACCGCCATACTGAGGTATGAAACAGCTCCAAAGAATGGCACTTTGATGTATGGTTCTCCAATTTCCTTAAAGCATCTGCATGACTATATAGTATAAGGAAGAAAGCCTGATCATACAAAATTACTAAGATTGATATCAGCACCTAAATTGATCTATTTGCGCATGTATCTGCTAATAATTTACAAGTGTCAAATGCAGCAAGAGCATGATCAGTTTTACCTCGACAATACCGCGACCAAACAAGTTTGCAAGCCCTGTAAATCGAGCAAGATATAATGTTAATGGACTGGAGGAAAGGATGTTTGAGTATCTGATGGGAAGTTGAACACAATCGACTTTTGCAAAAGAAGAACATTGTTATGCTTATTGAATGTCTGATTATTAAGGCCTTTGTGGCATACCTCTGCGCCTCCTATGCAGAAAAGGACTACCAAAAGCTCGATGAACCAGTACGACATGAGTTTGTAAAGCACAATCAAAAAGCACGACGCAACAATGACAAACAGGACTGCTGATGCCATGTTGATATATACAACACCAGGGCTGTCCATTTCATCAGCATTTTGAATATCATCTGCACCATCCTACAAGAAATTGTAATTCATCAAGTATACATTTACAATTCGAAGAACGTCACCTAAATGAACGATGAGAAAAAGGTCGCTAGAAGTCGCCGGAGACTAGTTGGGCTACCTTTAGTAGCTTGTCCTGCTCAATAGCTGCTTCTCTAGCACTCCAGGCAGACCAAAATGATGAACACAAGATTGTACCGACAGCCATCAACCATAAGAATACTTCAGCTATGTCAACTGGTGGTCGTTGTGGTGAGTATAGCTGAACAGACACTGCAGGGTCCAAAAACTTTTTAAGGGACAAAAAACTGATTTGCTCATTCAAATGGAAAGTAAAAATAAGCTCCAATAGACACGGAGTCTAGAAACTTTGTAACAGCCTAAGCCCACCGTTAGCAGATATTGTCCTCTTTGAGTTTGTCCTTTTGGGCTTACCCTCAAAATTTTTAAAACGCGTCTACTAGGGAGAGGTTTGCACACCTTTATAAAGAATATTTCGTTCTCCTCCCAATCGATGTGTTATCTCACAATCCACCCCCCTCCCCTCTCTTTGGGGGCCAGCATCCTCGCTAACACTCGTTCCTTTCTTCAATCGATTTGAGACCCTCAATTCACCCCCTTTCGGGGCCCAACGTCCTTGTTTGTACACTGCCTCGTGTCCATCCCCCTCCGAGGCTCAGCTTCCTCGCTGGCACATCGCCCGGTGTCTAGCTCTATACCATTTGTAACAACCAAGCCCACCACTAGCGGATATTGTCCTTTTTAGGCTTTCCCTTTCAAGCTTCCCCTCAAGGTTTTTAAAACGCGTCTACTAGAGAGAAGTTTCCACACCCTTATAAAAAATGTTTCATTCTCCTACCCAACCGTATCTCACCAAAATGATCGCTTAACAATAAATATTAGTTAATGTAATGACAACCAATTGTCAGTAAAATTAGTGTTTTCTATGAAAGCAGAAAGTAAGGAGAAAGCTTACCTGAAGAATTACTAATTAGCATCTTCTCCAAGCTTGTACCAGCATCGTGAGGGAGCATGACAGCAGGTATATGTATATCTAGATCAGTCTCATCAGGATCACAAACCATCTTGTAAAGGTCTGAAAAGTCCAGAAGCACGTTAAAAACACATCAAATATATTAAACATGATGCACTAGATCTTCATATTAAATATCATCACTTACCTTTTTGGTTATTTACTATCAGTATAGCTGAAGCACCAGCAGCTTCAGCAATATTTGCTTTTGTAGTAAATTTGCAGTGACCTCGATCAACCATGATTATATCTCCAGAAAGCTAACAAATAAGAGGTTGCTTGCATGATTAAATAATGTGCATAAATTTTCAATGTTCACGCCACTAGAGGAAGGAAGAACATTATAATCTCAAAATGAAGAACCTTGTCCTTTGGCACACTGCAGCAATCACGGGGATTGGCAAGAACAAGGCGTGTTTGGTTTGCATTTTTCTCCTTTGAAACGATGGTAGCACCAAATCTAGCTCCAACACCCACAAATTCACTGGCTTCTATGCCATCGATCCAAGTTTGAACTTTAACCTAATTGGTGAAACCCAATCAAAATGTTAACAAATTTCAAGAAAACCCAGTAAAATTATGAAGCCGAAACAAGAAACAGGCATTGGATATATTACCAGAATGAAGTCGTTCTCACAGCCAGGCTTTTTGGGAGACAAATCGTCATGATGAACAATATCCCCACCCAACACGTAAGAAGGAAAAATCAGCAGCAAAATCAGAGAGAATAAGGAAAACCCACCATGAAAATGCTTCTGTAAATCCATAGATTCTGATGTTCTCAGCAAAAAAGAAGTTCAAAAACAGTGATGGGTCTTCTTCTTTCTCTGCATCAGAAATCTCGAAACCCCAGAAAGGAGAAAAAAACAAATGGGTGGCTTCGCTCTGTTTCGAGTACACCCAAAACAGCAACAGAGCTCAGGATTGGATATAAAAATGGGGGAAAACGTAGAAATCAAAGCAACACTAGATTAATGATTTAAAGCAGACAATGCATCATGAAATAAAGATCATCATGGATCCAATGGATTAAAGAAAAGTGAAGAACTGGACATGTAGATGTGAAATGAGGACAAAATTAATGTCGTGTATGAATCTTTGCTCGTGCTTCTGTTTAAACTATTACTGGGTTTTTTTTGAAGTAAACGGGGTTTCCGTATTGGAAACGGCGGGAACCTTTTTAACGACATAATTAGACAATAATCGTCTTTATCAATGTTTTGTTTGCAGATAAGGACCTCCACTTTCTAATAATTTCACTTCACTGCCCATTGTGTATTTTTCACTAATTACTAGGAAAAAAAAAATCTATAATTAGTATTTTTTTTTTTTTATTCTAGAGGATTAAAGCAAGAATATTTATGACCAAAAATAGGTTTTTAGTGCAGAAAATATGAGTTAAAATTTGAACTTCTCCCCTAATAAATTAATTTTCTTTTTTAACTATTTATTTAAATAGATTACTTATCATGTGAAATATAAAATTTTAAATTTACAATCTCGAGAGAGGATGCTAATGCTACTCATGTGGACTTATTTAATTTAAATTATATTTTAACCCTAAAAATGAATAATTTTGTTAGTGCTATTAACATAGAATCCTCAATTTTCATAAACTTGAAATGCACAAACAAAAATAAAAAAATATAAAAAAATAAAAACCTGAATTTTAAATAGAGATCTCTTTTTCATTTTATATTAAAAAGGAAAACAAAATTGAAGGATCAACCTGCAAAACAGTATAGCAGTTGTATGTGAGGGTAGTGTAATTAAGAGAATAAAAGTGGCCCGTTTGGCAAATATAGGAAACTAGGTGGAAATTTAAGGAATTTGACCTCAGAAGCAAATTAACCAAAACTTGCTGAAAGTTCCTCGACATGAAGGACAGGGTGTGTTCCTGCCGTCAGACCAGCCATGTGGTTATGGCAAGGCAAACGTCGGTGCAACTATCCATCCTTCTAAATTTACAAAAGTACCCTCTATGACACATTTAAAATTCAGAAGGCAATCATCTAACGACCTACACACACGGATAACAGTTGATTACGAGCAGTGATTCGGATTCTTCACTTCCATCTCCAACTTGGGCACGCATCTGAACATGGAAGAATTCGAACAAGTTATTCAGTGTCATGTATGAAATGATCCAGTTAAGAAGATAAACAAATCCTCACGATGCTAAAAGATATGAAAGGTTCAAGCCCCAAGTTGCAAACTAAAAAGTTGTGCGAAGCTGGCTAGCTTTGAGGTGGACAAAGCCCAAAGAGAATAATGGAGGTGGGTTGCGAGCATAAGGCCCAAGAGTGAGTACAGTTGCAAAATAATGACAAGTCAAAAGCAATCAAATCATTGTTAGAAATTACGAATTATCCACTTTCACCAATAGCTCTCATAACTTTGTTTTTTGTTTCCCTAAAATGCCTCAGGCTAGTGGAGATGTATTCCTTACTTATAAACTCATCATCAACTCCTTAATTAGTCGACGTGGAACTTTTATCCCAACAATCTTCAACAATCAATCAGAACCATGTTGGTTAGCCAAAACATAATCATTATGAGTACATAGCATTTGTTCAAGCTCATCTACTGTAGCTAAATGATCTTCTACCCAGCATACAGAGTTTCAAAGATTCGAGAGTCTATACGTACCTACATCATTTCTTGTCTAATTTCAAAATGTTATGTGGTTAATTATCATTTATACAATCTTCTACTTGTTCGTTTTTTTACTAGCAAACTATGTCAGCTTTTTTCTTATACTAGAACCACAAACAGTAAGACCAATGTAGCAGTTGACACCAGATATATTTTCTCACAGCTATTATAAATTTGATGGCACAGAATTGTTCATACCGTTGCTGCTTATCCAACCGACGACCAGAGCAACAGCGAAAACATATGGAGTAATCATTCCCTCAATCTGGCCAACCAAATCCAACGGCCCTTAAAGTGCTCCTTGTAGATAAATCAATCGAATATATATTTGCAATAGCAATTCAATACTCCACCAGTAGCATTTTTGATCCGAGGATAGCGTCCAGAATTTTCATTCCTTTATTGAACCTTGTATCAATGACTCTCTGGTAACCTGTAACACGATAGAAAACAAACAAAATAACATGATCAAAAACAAAATGACTAGTATCTGCATTTTATTGTTCTCGAATGAGAAGCCCTTTTTACTCTTCTTTCAGTCAGGTATATGCTCCCTAGTATTGAGGAGACGAAGAACTTAAACAGATTGTGATGGCTGTTGGTTAGTTAGCCCTAATAGCAAGCAGTTATGAGCACGGGAAACAGATTCACTCAATTATTTGCAAGTAATGAAGCATAATTAACCACTAAATGAGGAGGAGTTCCAGAAAACATTCAACTAATATGAGTTTAAGATTCGCTCGACTTACCGCCATGGAAATTCACTTGTGTCAATTCCAGCTTGGTGGAGTTCATCAACATATTGCAATGCTTCTCTGCATTCTTCTCTATCATCAAAAAAGTCTTTTTTATCACCTTCAATTTGATATGTTTCATGGCCCTTGCCAGCAACCACCTATAACAAGCGGTAAATGATAAAAATGATATCACATAATTGCTCAAATGGAATTAACAATCGGGCCACAAACACATTATAGTTCATAAATAAAAGAAATTACAAAAGGTGACTCAAGTTTAAGTTGTCAATACCTTATCTTTGAATCCCATAATTACGAAAGCAATTAGATAGATAACCAATATATTCATCCTACAACCAAATCCCAACTTTTATCCATAATTTCTTTTCCAGGTCTTCTTTCTCTCACTGAAGTAATGTGCCATCATGTACACATTCCCCTTTAAATATAAAGGTAAGAATCTATCAGCGAAGAATCATTTATTTCTTAAGAATCTTAAGCCTTTTTTTATCCTTAAGTTAAAGCATTTTAACAGAATCATTCACTACAGCAGAGATTTTCAATAAAGCCATTTTTTGGCGTCTAGGTGAGGCAATCTCTTGAAATCCTTTGGTAATGATTCTTTTTTTAGTATACATGACAATTAGACAGTTTTCTGCAGTCCTATTGGCTAGTTGGGAGGTTAACTCTTCCACCCTTTTTGCTCTCATCTTTTGTGTTAATAAAACATTTATGTTGAGCAATTTGTGAAATTTTATATGAAGTCTGCAACTGTCGTTTGGCTCAATTAAGAATGCTATCTGAATGTTTTTCAGTCACCACTAAAATTCAGACATTAAGACCTCCATACAAAAACGGAAGGGGGTACGGTAACTTACAACCATGTCGCCTTCCTCACCCATTGCAACAGCAGCACGTACAGCCACACGTCTAATATCATGCAAGAAAATCCTATGACCATTTGGGAGAGGCGGATAGTAATCATTTTCTCCATGCTTCAAGTAATCCTGCATAGTCCAGCCTATACCAGCCAACATATCATCCAAAATGTCCACTGATCAAATGAGAAATTTTTGTCAGTATAGGACCATCAAACATTTTCTATGGATGCAAGTTATCAGGAAGAAGTCATGACAATTGCACGCGGCCATGATATTCTACACACGATTGCGCATGCATCTCTACAAGCATTATGTAGGTAAAGGTGAGTCTTAGTAACTACTAAAGTAGAAAGTTAACATACATGGATCTTCATTCCTTGGATTATCAGATGTCAGAATTGTAATGTCACTTTTATCGGTTGCAATCTTTGTCATCATGGGTCTTTTCCCCCTGTCATGCTCGCCACAGCATCCAAAAACTTAACAAACCAAATAAGAGAATTTTGGTCAAATAAGAAACATATTCCACAATTATTTCCTGGGGCTATAACAATTCAGAGGTATGGAAATGGGAAAGAATGTGAACTTCAGGCAAAAAAAAAAAAAAAAAAAAATAGATAAATAAAGTAAGACCTAGCTGCTTATATGATAAATGCAGTAAGAGTGAAAAAAAAAAATTACATTGTCATACTATAAGGGAGATGATTGTCTTTAGATCAAACCTTTTGCAAAGAAAACAGAAGGAAATGAATTCTAGTTAATTGTAAGTTGAGAAATCTAGCGCTACTAGACACAGTTCCTCACAAGATATGCGAAGGTAAATTAGGAACTAGGAAATATACCAGTGATAATCCTCCTGGGTCCAAGCTCCCTCACAGAATCAAGCAGTCGGGACAGGCCATCTGGAGTCTGAGCATGATCAACAATTACACCAAATGCCTGCTCTTCATCAATCAGCTCAAATCTCCCTGGAACAGCATCAACCTCTTCAATACCTCTAACAATATCCTCTAATGGTGCTCCCACTGCAATCCCTACTGACACTGCTGCAAGAATATTGTATATGTTATGCTTTCCAAGCAACCCTGATGATATCTCCAATATCCCCTGGGGAGTGTGAACCAAAACCTGTGTCTCAAATAGTGACAATTCATACTTCAGGGGATGGACAGCAGCATTTTTGTTTTCCATGGCAAAGGTAACAACTGGCACGTCTGGATTTCCTTGACCTATGAAGAATGGTGCATTCGGATCGTCAATGTTAACAACCTTTCGATGTCGATCTGGATCCACCATCCTTCTAAATAGCTTGGCTTTGGCATCCCTATACTCCTCTTCAGACCCTTGAAAATCCAAATTTGACTCTGGAGTCAAATTCGTGAAAACCGCTATATCAAAGTCAACTTCATCACACCTGCCACGAGCAAGTTCAGCGGTTGAAACCTCCATTACAACAGCTTCAGTTCCATTATGAAGCATCTTCGCCATTAAGTTTTGGACCAAAATAGCATCTGGGGTTGTACTTGGCGCCTCCAACTTATTGTCCCCATGTAAATAATAGGCCACTGTACCTAACAACCCAGTTCTCAGCCCCATTGCCTCATACATCCCCTTTATCAAGTAGGAAGTGCTGGTTTTACCATCTGTCCCTGTTACTCCTATCACAGCCATATTCTTTGACGGGTTCATGTAAAAAGAAGCAGCCAATGCAGGAAGAACTGAATTAGTATCCTCCACCATAACTAAAGCTTTACAGCCCAAAGTTTCTTCTATATCTATCTCCTTGCTAGCCACCACAGCAACCGCACCCCTCTTATCCGCCTCAGTTAAATACAAATGTCCATCAGTTTCCGTCCCAACACAACATACAAACAAGTCACCCGCATTAACCATTCTTGAGTCATGTTGAATGCCAGTTATTTCTATCTCTAAATTGCCAAAAACAGAAACTGGAACAACCTTACTTTCATCCAAGAGCTCAGCTAAAGTCATTTTGAACTTGGGTTCCACAATTCTAGTCTTAACTTTTCCATAGCTATCAAAATCCACATCAAAAGAATTAGAAGAAGATAGTTCATCCGAACCATGTAATTCCCTTGCATCGTCATCCAAATTCCCCGGCCCGTCTTCATCCTCGTCCTTGTCCTCAATCTCGTCCTCCGAAATCTCCGTAAGCCCCTGGAGCTCGTTAATTTCCTCCAAGTCCACGATCTCCTCGGTCTCCAACTCATCAATGCCCTCAAGAATATCTTTCTCAACCGCCTTTTCTTTCTTTGGGTTAGGCTTGAGAAGTCCCTGCTTCACGAATTCCTTCCGCTTCATAGCAATAGCTTTGTCAATTTCACCGAACAAATCATCTCCAGAGCTCTCCGAGTTCAAATATTCAGCATTATCGGGAGCATCCTCGACGTCAGCAATGGCCGACAGATAAGTAGACTGATGCTTCTTGAAATCCTCCTCCTGAAGCTTTTTCGCACGAGCAGCTTGGCGATATATCTGCTGAAACTTCGAAACGCCATGGCCGGCATCTTCCGGAGCTTCCGGAGGGTCGTCGTCGGCCGGGTTCGGATAGAACTTTCCGTCCGGCCCGATGGCGGAAGGAACTAAGGGTCGAAGAATTCGAATGGTGGGAAGATATTGTCGGTGAAATTGAGGTCTTATACACGGAATATTAGGACGAGGAGACAGAATGAGGGGAAATTGAAGAAAAGTGAAGGTTGAAGCCATTGAAATGGAGATTTTCCAGACCGAAGTCTTAGCGGCAAGTAGCAGCAGTTCCGACGGGGACGGAGGTTTGAAGCGGATAACGATTTGAATGTTGGAAACGATACCGTTTTAGTGAATGTTGAATTGGGCCGGTTGCGCTATTGGGCTTTTTTGTGTTCCATTTGTCACTTAGCAAACATTTGGACCTCTGTCGTAAATTTGGGCCTTTTATAAATTAGGTAGCTTTTATATTCACATTTTTTAGCTAATGTGGTTTAAAAGTATCTCTAATTCATTTTCGTTCTTCTCCATTGATAGCTTCCTGTTTTTTTAATCAAACTATCTAAAATAATTAATATTTTATTCATTCAATTTTCAATTTTAACATAATCCAACTAGTTTAAGCACATATCATCGATCAAACGTTCAGAGGTCCAAAAAAAACTTTTACTGATTGAAAGTCAAAAATTTAGAAGCTTGAAAAGATTATCTTCGAGAGATCCTTAGAATTTTAAATTATTTTATACACAAATTTTTATTGTCATCTTTTAATTAAAATGAATGGCACCGACCACCTGTTTTTTAAAATTATTTAGTCGTCGCTAAATAAGTTATAGCTTATTTAGTATGCAATAATGTTTCACGGGTGTATCACATTCTAGTAGTCAAATCTACCGCTAGCCCATCGTTCATATCAAATTTCCTTCCCTTTTGAAGAAATGAGAAGTGATTATTCAAACGAAGAAAAACTTATAGAAATGTTGAAAAAAAAAAATTATTGGAAGAGACAAGGAGTTAAATCAAGTTAGAATTTTAGATTTTTTATTTTTTAAATGAGATTAAATAATTTTTATTAATGATGTGATTTTTTTATTTTTTTTAATCTTTTAGAATTAAAACTGTATTATTGTTGTCGTAGCAATCCCCAGGAAATGGGGCAATCCCATTGAAGAAGGGAATAGAATCTTGTCGTTGGCATTTATTTGGTCATTAAAGATCGCTCACTCTACCAACTACTAACCTAACACGCTCCTCTTCTCTTGCCATATCCCTAAGCCAAGAACTCAGCAAGACCTTCGAGCCACGCACCCCCCCTTTTTTGGCTGGAGCCATGTGCATTTGTTTTCTAACCGAGTACGCAAATGGGGTTCCAAACCCCTATTTTGGGACCGATGGAGACGGAGAACTCTCGAAACAGGCTAATGAGATCTTCAAATTCATGTCCATTTTTTGTTTGGTCGTCAAAACCATATCATAATTTTTATGATTATTATTATTATTATTTTTTTTTTTGAGTTGAGGTGCAGTAGTCGATTGCAAGATTCAAATCTGATTAATTTGATTAAGCATGCATATTTATTTTTCGAGAATTGACGAAATTTTTTATTACATAGCCTCTACTCTTACTAAGTGCTTTAATGTGCTCCTATGTGTTGGACGTGATGTTCGAACCACTTTAAAAGTAACTATAATAGGGTATATATATTTAACTGGGACATATTTTCCTAGTACAATTAATTGCAATACTATATTGTAACATATTCAAATATGTAGGTTCTTTGGTGCATTTAATTTAATGTTCGTGTTGAAATTTTGTATAATTCATTTCTATAAAATATTTTCATATTTCCTTCCTACTTTGATCTTTAGTTATTAAAAAAATTACATTTCATATATTTTCATTATTTCAAGATTTTTTAATATTTCAAACCTACTTTTAAAGCTATAAATTAAATAAAAATATAAAAGATATTAAATCTTTCCCAAAACTAGTTCAACAATTATTCGCTTTATACCCTTCAAACTTATATATATGTATATATAATGTTAATAAAGTGCATTAACTTATGATATTTTTTTTAAAAATAGTAATAATGTGTTGTCGTTGTCAAGTCATTAATAAGACAATGCGAAGCCCATTTAAAATTTTGAAGATTTTCAAAGATTACAATAAATAACAAAATGTTACAATAAAATGATTAGTAGTCCTCACAAACTTTATGGTATAAAATATCTCATATATAAAATTTATTAAATGATAATTCACGATAAATTTGCTAATAATTATCTGTTTAATTTTAAGTGGACGGCTCACTGAATTAGCCCAATAAGCGTTAATTATAGATTTGAGAGTGTTTATAAAAAAAATGATAAATTTAAATTTAAATTGATTTAATAAAAAATATCATCAAAATATGGTGATAAACAAAATTTCATATAATTTCAATTTATAAATCTTATTTATACAAAAACTAGACCTAATTAGATAATATTATTTTATTTTTCGAATGAAAGTTAAAATAGAAAAAAAAACAAAAAGAAATTAATAATTTCCCATATTCATCCTTGAATTTCAAATTTCAAACAGAGTAATAATAAAAAACTGAACCAATGGCCTACAAGTTTCGCTACTGGTCTTTGTCACCACTCCAAATTGCTCATTAATGGCGGGTCTTGTAGGGAAGCAATACGACAGCGTTTCCACAAATACCGATACCCTCTACGCTTCTGTACGACGTCGTACGCGGGGTAATCCAAGGCCAAAGCTGCGAAGGGGGGGTAACATGGAGTTGGAGTTGGGGCAGAGCGAGGGAAAGTAACCTTACAATTGCTTGTGTGTAAAGCTTTCTTTCTGCAAATTGGCAGTCCATTTCGTCACTAATCAATCCAAAAATCAATACCCATGATTCAATTTTCTTCTCTTCTCGTTTTCTATATTTGTCCCATTTCAATGGCTTTTCTTTCTCCTTCTCTCTCTCCCCACTATTTTCCTCTTCGTCTTCTTCGCCTTTCCCTGTTATTCCCCTCTCTTTCACAGCTGTTTTCACTGTTCCTGTAAGTGTAATGGGTCCATCTCCATCTCCTCCTTCGCTTCTCGTGGATTCAAGCTGACCCAGGTGACCCATTTTTCTGTTTTTCCCATTATTTAGCTATCTAGTTTGCTCTGACATTGTAATATTGCTTCACTACTCACTAACACTGATTGCAAAAAGTTCATTTTATCTTTCATTTTTGTAGCCCCATCAAACCCACTTTCTTTTTTTCTTCATAGAAACAAACAGAAACGGTCCCTTGCCTTATCTTGACTTACTGTTTAATGGAGACTTGTGTTGTAATCAGTAGTGTCATTTCGCCATTAACATGGCCTACCCCTTTTGTTTTCTGTAGGGAAATGATATGAGGTCTCTTCAAGCAGTTTCCTCTGTATTTGGTTGGCAAATGGCCACCATTTGTCTTGGAATTGATAGAAATAGCTTCACTGCTTCCTTAAATTGTGGATTATTAGCTTTCTTTACTTTCTTTTGCTGTCAAAGATGCGTGTAGGGGAAGGCAATTAGTGAGTTTTGTAAGAAACAGGAGATAATAATACGTTATGTTCACTTCTGCTTGGAACTATTTGTCCATATGTATAATGAGTTTTTAATTTTTAAAAGAAGCAGGGTTTCTCTTTTCCCCTAAATTAATTTTGATTCATCCTTAATTTTAGCCTGCGTTTTGTTTTACTTACTGATGGAATGTTTTTTCATGTGTGAGAAGTGTAGACCAAGGTGATAGATTCTCTTTTGTTCTCTTCTGATATTTGGGAAGACAATCAATTTTGTGCTCTTTTGATAAAGTGGTTACTTTTTTGGTTTCTCCTTTTCTTATCATTGTGAGCCATAGTTAATCATTCACCATGCCAATAGGGTCATCAGCAAGATTAGGATCACGGGAGAAAAGAACCGCATGGACACGAGGAAGCTGTTCTTGGACTACATTTCCTCGAATTGTTCTCAGCTGGTAAGAAATCCTCAGAATTCAATGGTGTCAGGTGAAAACATGTCTTTTTTGCTTCTGTTTTGAACTCTTTGTTGAAATTCTTGGGTTTCAATGTTGTTTTTCTAGTATTTGACTCATGGGTTTGAGTGAAATATTCATCCATAAATGTATTTTGGGCTTCTCACTGGTGTACTATAGTTGTATTTGAAAGATAGCAAACCCCGTTCCAGTTTAGTTCTCTTTAACTCATGGTTGTAGATGCAACGAAAATATGGCATATCTGGAAATGAGAGATTTTCATTATTAAGAGACTTGGAGGCATCAAATGCCCTTACTATATGTGCTTTTGATCATTATGTTAACCAGAGGAACTGCTATCACATCATTGATGGAGATTATCTGGGGATTTTGATGATCTGAAGTTACTTTTCTCGAGTTTTAGCCTAAGCTTTTTCGTTATCAGAATACCTTTTTTTGGCTTTATAAATCAGCTATCATCATGGAAGGAATTATGAAACATGGCGCAGTCTTTACTCATGAGCTTTCTTGAAATTTTCTCCAGGGTAATAAATTATGAAACAACCGCAGCTGGTCAAACAAACGAGGGCTTTCTATAAAACAACACACAAATAATGGGAGCAAAGCATATGCAATCTAACTCTAGCATGGTTGGAAAAGCCTCAAAGAGCCACAAAATGGTGTGCAAAGCTATTGAGAGGCCTAGCAGAGAATTTCAACAGCCGTCTCCCAAAAGTTTGGCGGCTGCATCATCAAGGGTAGCTTGTTGCAGAAATCAAAGATCTTGTACTTGTAAACGTTGTATGGAGTTTGGCCGACATAATGAGATTAGCCTAAAATTGGTTCAGAAGAATGAAGCGGCTGAGCCATTTATGAGTAAGAAGTTTGTTGGTGTGGCTGACAAACAGTGTAAACAATTACTAGATGCATTGGGAATTTTCAACTCAAATAGGGAACTATTTGT